CTAAAATTAAAACTTGTTATCATGTTTTCCGCTTCGATCAATCAGTTTAATTCGATTTTTAAAGGTCGAGTATTTATTTTCACTGACCAATAAAATTATAAATTAGTAAAGCTAATTTAAGAAATTATAAATATAAGATAATAAATAATAATTCATTTTCCACGTATTTCAATCAACTTTTTCGGTTTTTCCATACAAATTAGGATATTTTTGAATATATGTAACATTTAAACGTGACACCTTTTATTTGATTTAAAATTATAATATAAATGTTTATATATTTATTCTCAATTAATCATAATTAAACTTAACTAATCAAATAGTAAAATAATACATTGTTGATAACTAAATTATAGAGTTTCACATGTATAATAATAATAATAATAATAATAATAATAATAATAATAATATATATAATAATAATTAAAAACATGAATTGTTGTAATGATATAATTTTCATTGGCCTTAATGATATAATTTTTAAGTTTAATTAACGATATGACAATGTTAATTTAAATTACAGTGTTGGGACAACAGTTTTGGTAAATTCTTAGGATGTGTAACATTATATTCTTTAAAAAATATTATTCTCTTTGATCGAGCAAAGAGTGCCAACAATGATGTCCATTTGTTTTTTTAGGGAAAAGTTAATCAACGTTCTGGTGGTTTCTTTCAAAATCACTTATGTTTCTGTGATTTTTTTCTATCACATATGTTCCTATGATTTGTAAAAAGGTATATTTTTTATCACATATCTCCCTGTGATTTTTTATTTTTTACAAAGCACAGAGACATATAATACAAAAAAAACCATAAAAATATAGATGATTCTGAAGCAAATTCCAGAGTCATTGATCAACTTTTCTCTTTTTTTTTTTTATAAGAAATGATAGTGCGGTGCGTTGGACTGAGGGTAAATAGAAGATTAGCCTTTTGTTCACTTGAAGGATTTTCTTACACATACGAAGGTTACTTTATTTTCTTACATCAATCATGCCAAAATAGAAAAAGGGAAAACTTTCTCAAGTGGGCTAGATTTTGCAGTACGATTCCAGTTGGGCTGAAAAAACTGATATTCTCATATTGTATATGATTTTTTAATAATTGTGACCTTAATTAATAAAAAATTACTACTTTACCCCTCTATCAAAATATATTACACATCTGTCCTTGTTTGACTATTGACCCCATAATTTACCTGGGTATAGAGGCGGATACTCGAATATCCTTTGAAAAAAAAAAAAATATTCGAGCATGCAGGTGAGTTATCCGAATATCGTTCATAATCTGAAAAAAGTTTGAATTTTTTTTTTTTTGATAACAAAGTTTGAATTATTTACTCGAGTATGAAAGAGAATAATGTAAGAACTCGCACCGTTAATTAAGGAATTTAATTAAGTAATTATGCGAAATTAGGAAATAATTCCATAATTGACCCTAATAATTATTATGAGGCTTTAATAATTATAACTAGTGGGTAATAATGTTGAAAGTCGCTTTTCGGAAGAAAAGTGCAGATACCGGTTCTGCTAGTCAGTATAAATGCGTATCAAAAAAGTATCCCAGAAAATTATAATAAGTGCATGATAATTACTAGAATAATATGTAAGACTTGTAAAATGAGTTTCAAGTCAAAATAATGAGAACTGGTGCTAGAAACTGGTACTGGCTATGAAAAGCGCGTACCGGAAAGGTGCTCCGAAAATTATAAGAAAAATATGATAATTCTTATAAAATTGAGTAGGTTAAGAATCCAAAGTTTGGGATTAAAATGCTAAGCGTAACAATTAAAGTTAATATTGTGTGTTTAAGGCTTAAGTGGGCTATAAATACCATTATGATGGCACAAAACCCTAGGAAACAGATTCTCTACGTGAGTGTGGTGCTGGTCAGCTGCTGGTTCCACTGTTCCATTGCTTCACCACCATTTTGTGAGCCTTGTGATCTCTTTTCTTCATTTTCTCTTCACTTTGTACCTTGGGCGAGTGGGAGAGATCATTGTGAGTGTGAAAAGAGCACTTTTCCTGAGTGTGGTGGCTGTGCGGAGGCTGTTTGGGGTCTGAGTTGTCTTGTGTGAGTGTGTGAGCTTCTTCCTTGGGTTGTTGGAGCTCCAAGGAGAAATCTTTGTGAAGAAAGATCCTTGCTTGGGTGGTATTTTCGTGCACCCTTGAAGTCAGAACCTTGAAGCTGTTGTGTGAGCTCCAAGAGCACCCATTTTGCTGTTTAACTTTGGTAAGTTGTACCAACCTTGATATTGTGTTTTGATGAGTAAAAGAGGTGTCTTGGTATATTTAATGAGTTAAACAAGTAACCAAATGTCATATGACCATAAATGAACCTTAAGATGCATGTTTAAGCTTCTGGAAGTGTTAAAAATGGAACCTTGAAGGGATATCTTCACGAAATGCAGAAACTGCATTCTGTCGCGAAATATCCGGATATTTGACGTGGAATATCCGGATATTGATATCCGGATATGGGTATTCGGATGTTGATATCCGGATATGGGGATCTGGATATCCAGATATTGATATTCGGATATTGCCAGAGTGATACCCGGATATTGGATATCCGGATATTGCCTGTGAGATATCCGGATATTGCATATCCGGATATGTCCCCGAGGAATATCCGGATATTCTGGGTTTGCGAGGAACAGTAACGTACTGTTCATCCAGAACTGATCTATGGGTTTGTGGACCCTAGTTTGAGGAAGTTGAACTTCTGTAATTAATTAATGTAAGTCAGAATCATGTGATTAAGGGCTTATGGCTTGGTGAGAAGCCTTAAGACGTAAAACGTAATGGAAAGGCGTTGTCTTAATATTGTATGCTTGCGGTGCATGTTATTGATATATTATTGATCCATAACGGATTGTGAATCTGCTGTGTTTGAACTTTGAGCTGTGGACTCTTGGCTTTGGGTGTTAGCTTGCAAGGTAAGCTTTCGTGTCCTCGGTTTAGCCATGTTGTGGTTCCACCATGTCACATGAGGGTGTGGTTATATGCATGTTGTGTTACATGCTATGAATATTTGAAATGTTGTTGAGCTTTATGTGTAATGGCTTTTAATATGCATGTGTTGTTTCATCTTGATGGTAAGCTTGAGTATGTGGCGTCATACGACACTACTGGAAAAGTCGCGAATAGCAAGGGAAATTTGCAAGGGAAAAATTCCCTTGCAAGCTGCGACGGAATTTGCAAGGGAAAAACAATTGCGAGGGAAAATAGGTAAGATTTCCGTTTCTACATTTTCGTCGCAGAATCCCTTGCAGTTCGGTCGCAATTCCCTCGCAATTTGCAAGAGAAATTGAATCCCTTGCAAGAATCATAAGTCTGCGACGGAAACAGCGAGGGAGAAAATTGGCGACGGAAGTTCCCTCGCAAAATTTAGGATCTGAAAATTGCAACTGAAATTTCGCAATTTTCCTCACAAATTCCCTCGCAAATTGCGAGGGAATATATTCCCTCCCAAATTGCGAGGGAAAAAGGGAATATATTCCCTCACAAAATTCAAATATAATATATAAATCAAATTTAAAAGGGACAAGGGCATAAATTGGTCGCCGCATCATGCGTATGAGAAAAAATCATTAAATATGTCGTCGCATCCTTTATGGCAGACATTGAGTGCATGTAGTGACAGTAGTGCCCATGTGAGCTAGTCATAGGAAAGATAAGACTCTGTTGATATTTAAGGTGTGTGTAAAAATTGTTCAATAATGAAAAGCAGAGAAAAATGTCTGAAAGATTCCTGTTCCAACCACCCTCGTCGTCATCACTGTACAAATTAAATGAAAAGTGACACATGCTTTCGATGCCACCAAAAAGGGCATTGGTCTTTGTAGTTGGGCTTTAACCACTTAATTAAAAGTCAAGTCCAGCCCAATAAAGAAAGCTAGAGTTCCCAATTCAAGATGTTCAGCAGCCTTTTGAACGTGCATGAATAACGTTTTGAAGACAAGGGAGTATGAAAATCAGTCATTATAAGAGAAAATAGAGAGAGAGCCATTTCAGAAACTTCACAGGAGAATTGAGGAAGGAGAAATCTTTGATCATTTTATGATATATCTTTCATCTACCGTTCGGTCCAGCTGAGGTTCTGTTAGTAGCTATACCAGAAATTCCAAACCAAAGTGGTTTGTGTGTACGATTCTACTGCAGGCAACAATCTTGAGATAATATTTTTTTTTCTTAAGTTTACCGTTGGATCGTGTTGAAATACTTTAAGCAAGGGTTACACTCATTATACTTCATATGTAACGGTCAGTTTGTCGATTGGAGCTCACCCGCACACACACACACACACACATATATAACTTTGAATGTGCGTGAGTATCATTTTACTGACAAGAAAATACAAACAAAATCAATCAGCTTGTATGCATATAGGGTGTAACCCTTGCTTAAAGTATTTTGTCACCACTTTGAATGTGCGTGAGTAGCATTTTACCGAAACCCGGCCGGGTTTTGGGGGTCGGAGGGGTCGATGTGCATATAAGTTTTAAAACACTGCTTTATATGGTGAGAAGGAAACATAAATAGAAAACACATGAATATATTGTTAATTTCTATTTTCTCTTCATATAACCCCATATTTTCAAATCAGTATACGTGATAAAATTATCTTGTACAATATGAATAATATTAACCTCACACACACATATATAATTTTAGATTTTGGCAATCCTATGTTTACCAAAAAAAAGTTGGCGAAATTTTTAAATTTAGAAATTTCATAGTCATTTGCTAAGTTTTAAGATTTCTTCAGATAGTGAGCCTGAATTCGATGATTATGAGAGTCCAGAGGAAGGTGGGCAAGAAGAATTCAAAGAACAGGAATCATCCGATTGATTTCAGTTATTCTTTCTTTAAGCTTATCTGTTGTACTAAATAAATAATTTTTATTCACAAGCCACATGTTATATGTGTTATACGATTATGTTTTATATTTTTTATCTTTTAGGATCTCTGTATGGTGTATGCATCCATTAGTGACAAATGGATGGTCATAGCGGTAGATGTCGTATTGCATACTTATTATATTTATATATATTTTTGCATTATGTTTATAAGTTTTCACAGATGGGCGTACTGGTAGTGATGGTAATGTCGGTAGAGGTCGAGTTACAGGCCGTGGTGGCAGAGGAGGTAGGACAACATCATCTACCCCCTCTGGTAGAGGTCATACAGCTTCTTCATCCCTCCCTCCACTTCGGATAGGATCATCACCATCTACCACCGACTCTGTTATGGGAAGTGCAGGACTTCCTCACACTCCCACTGACCCGATGGGGCCGACACAGCAGGTTAAGTAAACCATCATTTTGTGATTTAGATATATATTATAGTTTCTTTTAAGCATCTCTCTACTAACTTTTTTAATGCTTAACATTTTTTCCCTTTTGCAGGTTGCATCCCCTGCAAGCGAGGTAGGAGATGCTGCTTCGGCACTTCAGCCAGAGTGGGGGAGGTGTGATCCACAGACTAAACGTATATGGGTTCGTCCTTTAGGCACCACAGAGTAAGTTGTAATTGTTACTAATGATGTACTAATGTGGCTTCTAGCATTGCTCAATCGTTATAATCAAATAAATTGAATTAATATTGTCAGGTTCGAACCTTATGATGAGATCATGAAATACATTGATAATCAAATATTCCGTAATTTTAAACATGTATGGAGCACCTGGGGAGACGTTCCTAAACAAACTCGAGATGGTTGGATGGATGAATTTCTGGTAAGTTATGTATATCTCGTTAATGCTAATGTTTTATTACAAAAATGTATACTAACTACACATTTGTGACCAATTTGTGCGCTAATCGAAAAAATTGGCAATTTACAGAGTCATTATAGGTGGTTGCCCGAGGATCGCCATAACCTGGCAAGAGCTTGGCATCACAAAGCCACCACAATGTTTGCAAATAAAATGGATAAAGTAAGACATGACAAGGGCAAAAATGCATGGTGTAGTGAAGCATTAAAAATCCAATTGAAAGAAAAATGGAAAAATTGTCCTAAGTTTCAAAAGAGATCTACTCAAAATAAGGAAAATAGGGCCAAGCAGGACACACCCACATATGCTGGAGGGTCGATTCCAATCAGCAAGCATCGACAAAGGATAGTAAGTATAAAAAGTTTTCTAGTTCGGTATTCAACAATTCGTACTTGTAACTAATGAATTAATGATTTTCATTGGTATTTCCAGGAGGCTTCTGGAGAAGTGCCGCCTGAAAAGGTTGATTGGGCTACCTTCGAGCAAACTCATTCCCAGCAGCCTGAAGCTGGTCAAAGGCGGTGGTTAGGCTCCAAAGTGAAGCTAATAACGGTTTGATCATTTATTATTTGACGTTTGTTTTTTCTATGATGGTTTATGTCATGTTTTACATGTCCATATGTGTGCTGATTTTTCTTTACTTGCAGGAAAATTATCAAAAACTTGAAGAGGAGATGTCCGCACAGGTGGCGACAGACGATCAATCCAGCTCCTCCTATTCCGATAATGGGAACATGTTGGTTACAGCTGCAGGTGGATTCAACAAGAAAGGAAGGGTGGTCGGGCTGGGAGGATATGCTAGCCGACTAAAGCCTAGTAAGCGGCCCTCTACCCAGATTGACAGTGTTTCTGCCGGTAAACTCAATGCATAGTTAATTTTATTATATTTTCAATCTCTATTCTATTAATGTTTTATTTTAAACATTTAACTTACTGTTTTATAATAATGTATTTGCAGATGAGCTTAAAAGGATGAGGGTGTCCCACTCCCAGATGCAGGAGCAATTGCATGCTACGAAGGAGCAATTGCATGCTACGACAGAGCAGCTAACTCAGCAAGCGGACTTTATGAAGCAACAAGCTGACATTATGAAACAAATGCAGGAACAACTCCGACTTTTAATGCAGGACAAGGAAGCCAACTGCAACAAGTCGAAGGGACCGACGCCGGATGATGACCCTGATGATGATGATGACTTTGCTAGGACTTTAGAGGCACACTAGTTGTTGTTTGTATGTTTTACTTCTTTAAGGACTTCAGAGATATATCAGATATTTTTTGTATGTTTTATTTTGTTTAGAACTTTAGAGACATTTTAGTTGTAGATTTGATGGTTGTTGTTGTTCACTTTTGTTGATATACTATTTAATTTTAATTTAATTATTTATCCAGTATTTTTTTGGATTTCTGTTGCTATTTATGTATTTATGTTCATTTGGAATCCTTGTTGTTTACAGGAAAATTAAGAAAAGTTTAATACATTTTTTTTATTTTAATTCCAGAATTTGTGGCGGAAATTTTTAAAATTCCCTTGCAAAATCAAAATGTTCCCTTGCAAAATTCGTAGCATTTTGCGAGGGAAAATCAAAATGTTCCCTTGCAAATTTTGCAACGGAAATTTAATACACCCCTTGCAAATTCTGCTACGGAAAATTGCAAGGGAAATTATACTCGACATTTCCGTCGCAATCTGCGACGGAAAGACACTGTAGATAGGTCTGTTATTTGCGAGGGAAATTTACTTTTTTGCAAGGGAACTTTTCCGTAGCAATTTGCGAGGGAATTTTCATATGACAAATTTTCCTTGCAAATCTATTTGCGACGAGGGTTTTAGCGAGGGACGGTATTCCCTCGCAAATTCCGTCGCAGACAGTTTTTGCAAGGGAATTTGGCTGTTTTGCAAGGGAATTTTTCCCTTGCTGATTGTGAATTTTCTAGTAGTGCGATATGGTGATCCGGGGTGAATGCAAGTGGCGTCTTGCACTAATTGTGGGTAATAGACGTATACTTATTCCTGCATTTCTCTTACCAGTAGAATAGTATTGACACACATGACATGAGTATCTGCTGCATTGCACTGTTTTAGAAATGATATTGATGAACTACTTTTAAACTTATATTGCACATGTAAGTGAGCTTGAGGTGGAAGATCCTTGAAGACCCCTTGTCTTACTGAGATTTCTTGTTTAGAGATCTCACCCCACGTTTGGGGAATGCTTATTTCAGGTTCAGGTAGTATGGTGACTGATGCCTCTGGCGGCAGGAGGCCAGAGCTTAGCTGATTATGATCTTACTGCTTATTTGCTAGCATGACTGGACTGGATGCTGTTTATGTTTTCTGCTCTTTATGTTTTAAGTTGAGACTGATGTTGGGCTTTGTTGCCTTATTTGGGTGAGCATGGGGTTGTCCATGTCACTATGCTGTTAGTACTTTTGAGTTGAGTTGTATAAACTGTTAGTTGGTCCGGTCTACGTGTTGTAGTTCCGTGACTAGAGCCATACATTATGTTATTTTAATTAATGAGGTATTTCATTTAGCTGTTTTATTGCAATTGCATACAGACGATGTTTTATTAATTGTTTAATAAGCAAGTTGGTAATGTTAATGACTTCATAATCGAAAAGAAAAAGATATTCTACATTTTTAATTAAGCGCTGCTTAATATGATAGTATGATAACATTACCAGATATATACAGGGTGTTACAAATACCAAGGTATACTTCTCAGTAGGATTTTTTTAAAACTCATCAAGTCATTTTTTCCAAACCCATAAACGATACTTGGGTGGAGCTTCGAAAAGGGCAAAAATTCCGATTCCTTCTCCACACTGGTTGGACAAGTTTCTTCCTCTACCATCAACCTTCGTCGACCACCACTGTTTCTACCTTCAACCGATTAAAAATGAAGAAATGTATTTTTTTTTAGTTTTTAATTTTTGATTTTTGACGGAATTTCATTTATTTTTCGTCGAAACTTTTCACAAAAATTATTCAGTCGAAAAAATTGTTACCTACGAAGAAATATTCGATGGCTTCATTTCCTTCAATAATTCCGTCGAAAATTTTTATTTTCGACAAAAAATTTTCATGGAAAAATAACATTTTTTAATAGTAGATATATGTATTATTTGTGATGGACTATTACATAATAATATGGGCCGATAAAGATGGTGTTTTTACTCTTTATCTAGCCAAATAGTGTAAGTGTTTCATTAATCTTATACCGATATTATGAAATTTTTTTTTTTTTTTTTGATAACATATTATGAAAATTTTCAAATGCTCTACGATAGTATTTTAAACTAAATTAAACAACCCTTAAGTGTGAATTTATATTCTTTGATTATTAAACAAATCCTTCATACATAACGGCAAACCCAAGAAGTTGCCTATTTTATTATTGCATGCTGTTGTGGTATAACAATGCCAGCGAGAGAAACTATCTTCATACCTATTACTATTAGGTGTCTTGTCTCTGCAACTCCATTTTTTTTTTCTCGCGAGTTCAATGTCAACTAGTGATGAACCAATCTAACTAATATTTCTTGCATGGCTTGCTTACCTCTTCACTAACTTGTGTTTGATTAGTGAACCTCATGGAATATCATTTTCAATGTGTTATAAGATTTTGGTTGTTTATTTTTATAATTAATTAAACTTTTATCTTCCACAAATATTGAAAAAATCATCATAGTTTAAATAAATTATTGTTTATCTTAATAAGTTTCAATAGTCTCAATTATGGACCGCAGCCTCAATTGTTTATGTCGCTTTCCTTTTTTAGAGCGTTTATCAACTGAAAGCTAGCTAGAAGGGTGAAGGAGTAGCTATCAATTGCCTAACATTAAAAAATGAGTGTTTGGAATAAGAAAATGGTAACAGAAAAGAGAAATTAAAAGCAAATTAATAAAAGCAAAAGCAACTAAGATGTGGACTGAAAGAATCTCTTTTTATTGGAGCTCATAATTTGCTCAAGCGGCACATTTCAGCGTTTACAAGTGTGCCGACAAATAACTAACACAGTGAAATGCCTTAGAAATAATTAAAGCATCGTATGAGTAGGGGTTCATTCATTAATTAAAGTTTCTACCTATAGAAAATAATAATAAAAAAAGCAAAATAGGAGAGACAAATCAAGATCTCATAAGCTCTGTAAGTAGTGTGCCTCCCTTTTTTTTTTTTTTTTTTATATATATATATTCAATCTCGTCCTAGAGTTATGTCCAATCCCGTGTCTTTTTCTCTTAGTATTGCATGCATGAATGCACTTGACTAAATGCTGATCAAATATAGACCCTTGCACATATTCTTTGATATTTTCTTAACAATTTTTTTTTTGTATTATTATGTAAAATTTTATGTTAATTTCACTTAATAACTTGAATATACTCTTTATTAGTAAACTAAGCATTAAATTTTATCCGATGATAAAAAAAGTTTATTAAAAAATAGTATATTAACAACATTTTTCAAAAATAAATTCACCCTAAGTTACGCAAGATCTGATTAGGCATCTAGTCCATGTCTTTTAAAATATGAATAGTAGACGGAAGATTCCTATTGAAAGTGAGAGGAGAGGTATTAAAAATCAAGACTCAGCTTCATGCATTAGATGCATCAACATTTTGAAATCTCACATGCTTCCAATACATTTCTGCTTAGTTTCTAATTTTGTTTGACAAAAACAATTCGACTACCTATAATCTGCTTGTCTATAGAGAATGCTATTCTACTAATTTTTTTTTTCTTTTAATTCTCTGATTCAGTGATACTCCTGACATGAATTTATAAACTTCTAACCTCTTAAAATTGACCTCCTATATGTATTACCCCAAATGGCGTACTAATTTTTAAGAGGAAAGTTTCCTAATCAAAGTTGAGTAGTTAAGTGGTCATATCTTCTTTTTCCTTTTCTTTTCGCCCGTTTCTCTCAATCTAACATTTTTTTAGTTCTTATCATATATTTCTTAAGTACGTGATTAATCATTTCCATTATTGATGTTATTCCTCTCAAATAGTTTCTCTCATGAAACTCCTACATATTTTTGGATATTATTCATCAGTTTAATGATTAGTCGACTAGTATGATTATTTGACCCGGGTAGGGCTCATAGGCAGCTAAGTTCTCATTATCAAATTTTAACACAAATGCGATATTAAGGACTCAAATTCGAGACCACTAATTAAGGTGGAACAACCTACCAGTTGATTCATGTGCTTGGTGATGAACTTTCTACTTAGTTACTACTATGAGAACATAACCTCAAAGTGGAGGTTGTAAAATGTTTAATCATTAATTAGCGCTACTCCGTGCACATATTCACTACAACAAGAGAAATTAATGAAGCTAGTAAAACAAAATATAAACAATGCTATTAAAAATCGACAAATTGTACACAAAAGGATTATTAATGCCCTACCCCCAAAATAATAAAAGAAGTAAAAAATAATTACGAAACAGCCTAATTGACCACACTATTACCCTATCAACAATTAACATTACCACACATCCTTTCGAACAACTAATCCCAATCCAGCATGTGACATGCCCCCTGGAAGCCAAACACCATAAATACATCCTAAATCAACGAATTTTGACAATTTACGATATATGAACCATACATACATATGTGTATGTACACATGACATTAACAATGCATCTTTATAACAAGACCATATTATTATTATTATTATCAACCTCGAATCTTATTGCGTCCAAGTTTGAGGCCACGCCATCTTCTAGGCTATTATCCATGTCCCATAAGAAGTCATATCCATCATCACATCTGGAACTAATTTGAGTAACAGTGCTACTGTTGGTGTTTGTTTCCCGAGAAAACTGAAGGAGATTCATTGAAGAACTGTTTTGGTTCGGGTTTAAATGATGATGAAGATGATGATGATGGGTTGCCATCAAGGAAGAGAAAGAGGCATGTCTGTTATACCCACCAGGCATGGTTTGGTTGGATGGAGATGATGAAACCAAAGTTAGGGATGGAGTTGTGGTATCATACATGAGTTGTGAACTGAGTTTGGAACTATTATCTTCTTTGCTTTTGTTGAAGACTCTGCACAACACCCAGTCCTCCTGTAATCAACAAAAAGTTTGACCTAATATAAGCAAAAATTAATGTGAACCTGAAAATTAGCCTAAAAGAAACTTTATCCTCACGTCAAAACTACACGGCAAAGGCAACTTTTTCTTTTCCCCTAACGAATCATTTTATTTTTTCGCTGGCGACAATTCATTTGTGACAAAGTAAGGAATTAAATCGGGACAACCCTCATCATGTACTTTTTCTCTCTCTCTCTCTCTCTCTACTCTCTATATGCTAAAGCCGATAAGATCCAAATCCAATGTACACATCGAAAAAAGAGATTGAAAAATCCGTTATATCTTTTTAGGGAGAATCTATGCCAACTTGTTTAGTCTTCAACTTTCAGAAACAAGGCTTGTTAAGATATACATCCTCTACTATACCATAATCTCTAATGATATATATATGGCTAAATTCTGTCTTGTCAAAATTTATTTCTTGAAATAGTGTGATTTGTATAAGGTCACAAATATCACCCCATGACTTTATATATTTTAAAAAAATATATTGTAGACATCAAACATGACTTATACATGAGTTCGATATTTCAATATTATTTATATAAAATCTTATGAAACTCGACTTAATGAAATATTTTTTTAATACATAAAAAAAGTTGTGACTCATACTGCTTGTGGCTACATCTTACGATTTCTAATCAAATATTTGCAACATGAGAGTATTAATTTGACTACAAATTATAAAATCAATGGCCATGGGACCTAATTTTAGTACAAATTGTAGTTTTAGCCATTATTTCTATTATGTAATATAAAAAAATATTTTTCATTAAGTCATATCTCATACACAAGAGTGTAAATTGGTTAATCAAGTCTAAACTTTGGTTTAGATAAGTCATACCTATGTAAAATATCTTGAATCTAACCCGACCGATTTACCTAATGGATGTTAAATTATAGGTTTGATCTGGTTTATTTATAATAAAAAATAATTATTTTTTAATTATGGATGAACTATTAACCTAGTTAAATCTACCAGTCCTTCAGGTCTATTCAAAATTGGAAAAAAATAACCAAATAATATTGTTTGTATTATTTATTATTATTCTACTTTATTTAAAATAAATAATATAATATAAATTTATCTATAAACTTAAGGGTATTTGTTTCTCCTATAACAGCAAAAACAAACCCCATTCCTGCACAAACATAAATTTGTAGGATCCAAGCTAAAAAGAATAAAATAATAATAATAAAATTGTGCAACATTTGATGAGTCTGTGGGAGGATGTTGTTTTCTCCTACAACAGGAGAAACTACAACAGGAGAAAAACAACACCCATAAACTTATAAGTAAAAATTTGATTAATTTATATCCCTACTCGTGTATATAATTTTATACAAGTATTATTTAAAAATTTAACATATATCTAAGTGGTGTTTAGTGTTCGTTTATTAAAAAAAAATTCATGTTACAAATTTAAATTTGTGCAAATTATACTATTATTGAAATTAAACTTGGATAATCTACCAATGATAAAATAATCAATCAAAGTTGCTTTAGCCAAAAAAAGCCCATACAAAAGCTAGCCAAAGGAAAGTGGAAACTAACCTTGGGAGGCATGTGTGGGGTCTCCAAGCGGAACTCATGCATGATCCATCCTGTTTTGATGCCATTTGGAGCTCTGTTCCTATAGAACACCAATGTCTTCCTCATTCCTACAACCTCCTGCGTCATCGGATCAAGCACCGTACGATCCTTCCCTGTTGCTTTCCAATATCCAGATGAGGTGGCCCGGTTGGCTCTAAATCCAGTAGCATATTTGCGGTCCCGAAAGCTGAAGAAGTACCATTCGTTTGCATTGAGCTTAGCCACCTCTTTACAATGCGCATGCATGAACACGTGATATATGTCAGTTTTTTTTTTATAGCAAATAGACAACACATGACTAAGGTAATATAATAGTATATGTGAAAATAATTGTTTAATTCAAAGAAATAGTAACAGTTAGGTCATGTGTGGAATCAATATCACATGTCAGCTAGTTCATTAATGACATGTAAATTTCAAGCTTCCAATCCCACCTGACAAAGATGACATCAAATTACCCCAACATATAGTGGTTGGAAGTTTCAAAATATTTGCTATATATGTAATTGCGTAGCTTTTTTTTCCTCTCTCTTTTCTTACCTCCTTTCACAGCTTTCATGATGTTTTGTGCCTGAATTTAGGACTAATTAATCAACTCTAGAAAGATAACGTATGTCCTTTCATGTATAAAAGTTTAGCTTTTCTTATATTTCTTGAGGGAACATATATATAATTTCTAATTACACATTTATACATAATATGAATGCTAACGAGTCAAAATCATCTAGATAGCGAGTCATGCCACGAAAGGTGACTGAGGCGAATATACACGTATGTTTGTGTCAGTGTATACATAATACTGTGTTTGTTGGTTGCTTGGTGAAAACGCATTACTTTGTCAACTTCGTTATAATAATTAATAGTTAGCAACGTAAGCGTAAAATTAAAGGGACACTTTAACCAAAAGAAAATAATAAATAAATAAAGGGAAAACGTAATCTATGCATGAATCATTTATGCTTCAGCCTCTCTATAGCTGCCAGACAGGGTCCTCTATTGTGTTAAAAGGGATCGGTCGCTTTCATTGTTTTATGGCGAGGTGGAAACCTAATGATCACTCACAGAATTAGTAGCAAACAGATCCAGTTATTTGCAATGCATACTCTAAATAAAAATATGATAGTTCTAAAAATAAGGCATCTCTTGAAAATTAAGTGAAATTTAGACTAAGTGAAAATTATGTAGTATATGAAATGAAGACTATACTACTACTGTAATTAAGGTGCATGTGTATCTGTGCATATAGTTTGGATTTGATTCGTATAGGTAGTATAAATTGTAAAGTTTTTTATATTATTATATTTGTTGATATATATGTTGACACAACTAAAAAATTTATGTTCCCAACCACCTTATTTTGAAATTTAAGAAAAAAATAAAGCGTATTTTGAGAAAATTCATGTCCTAGGAGAGAAATAAAATTTTCAAAATACCTCATATTGTTAGATATAAATTTGTCTTGTGTGACAGAACAAATATTTATATATATATATATATATAATGGCAAAATTATTTGTCATTTTAAAAAGCATAACTTTGTGTTGAAACGATTGTGTTTTAGTATATATTTAATTATTTTTTATATTTTTTCTCTTTCACAATATTAGGAGGAGGAAGAAAGAGAGTATTGTGGAGGAGAGAAAAGATAAAAAAAACCATCAAACATATATGAAAACACGATTGTTTCATTTAAAATGATATAAAATTATGTTATTTAAAATAACAAATATTTTTTCTGAAAATCAAAGTAAATTAAAGTAACTCTTCGCAGTCTTATTCGCACTTGCGTATTTTACTGCAAAAGAACAAATATTGTCCACAGAAATAGAATGCTTTTTGAGACTGTTTTAATTAAAAGAAGAAGATGGTAGGAACAAGGAAGAGAATGGATCGAGTAAAGAAAAAAGACAGATTAGAGACTCTGTGTAGGCGATAGAGCTCAAAAAACATCGTTTCCATCTCCATTTATATATATAATATATGGGGAAACAACTTCTCATTTGACAGAAGAACTTCTTTTTTGCAGCTGAGAGAGATTTTTGGTGGGACCCATTGATTGTATTGAAAAAAGACAAAACAAAAAACAAATCACACATTTCAATGCTTTGCTGTGTGATTGCTGCAACAAAAAAACTTCTCCATTGAAAGGAGAAGTTGTTTACCCATAATATATATTATCAAACAGAAAAAAGTTGTTCGGTTGTGTTTGTAGGGAAAAAAAATTATACACAAAAGACAAAAACAATTATACTGGCAAATATACCAAGTTGTGTATTTGTACGAATTAATTTTTTATACAAAGAACTTGATGTTTTTTTATCGATAGGGACGCTGAGTATTCATAAAGAAGTTGGCATTACCTTAATCATTGATGAACTGAATGCACTATCGTACATGTAACAACCCCCTCCTCTTACATACCTATCCCTTTTATTTTCTCGTATTCTCAGTTTTTTCTCTCTCTCTCTCTCTTCTTGATCAAACAAGTGTGCTTAGTTCTCCGTATTGTCGTCTGAGCAGTTTTATAAAACCACAACATGGACTTTATCTTTTTTGTGGATGTGTGATAACCCATGTGAATATTCTATTTCTTTTAGCAGAGAAACGAACAAAAGGAAAACAAGAAACGGCAAACAAAGGATGATAATCTCAATATTGTACAAAAAATAATGGAAGTTATCATGCAAGGACATAATATGTAGATTTTTCAGAAATTTCTGAAACAAATTAAAATTAAACGAGATCAAGCAAGGAAGATAATTCCCATAATATATACACACACATATATATATATATACCTGGAAGCTGCCATGGTTCGCATATGTGCAAGTCAATTTCCACCAAGGTATCCTTCAGAACTTCCTCATTTGTGATCTTTTTGTGAAGATAATGACATACCAACTCTTCATCACTCGGATAAAACCGAAACCCTGGAGGCAGCGAAGCACCGATGTCTCTAAGACCCATGATTTTGTTGTTAATTTGAAGGGAATGATATGAGATTGAAGAAGTGAAACAGTTGAAAAGAGAAAGAGGGGAATCTAAAGAATATTATGTAGAGGATTGTGGATATTAATGTATGTAATTGAAGCTTGGAGAGGTTACTCTATCTGGGTATTTGAAATATTGAGGTACAGAGGAAGAAAGGTTGGAACCACATCTATATATATGTGTGTGAATAGTTAGGAAGATATTAGAGACTTTGCCATTTAGAATTTCTTACTACTAAATTCCATCAGGGGCATGCTTGTGTAAAGTGGTTAGTTATAGTTGGAAGTTTCAAGAAAAACCAAAGTTACAAGAAATCTTCTGACAAATAAGGGCAAAACATTAAACAGTTATACGACTATGAGAGAAACCCTCCAAAACGCCCCTTTTATTTTATTATTCAAAAGTATCGTTCCTCCATTATCTTCCCTCATAAAAGAATTTATAATATAACGGTAACTAATTCGAAAGTTATGCACAGTAAATTTTTGTATGGCAGATCATACATTCGGATGGAGAGAGTGGCAAAATGGGTCGATTCTTCCCAACTTATCTCGATCCATCCCGACTCATTGCCAATTTTGCCACCTCTTTATTCTGAGGCCCTAGTAGAGAACCCATACATAGCTAGCGATGATTAGTAAAAATAAATAAGTCGTGTTTTATTTTTCTCACAAATTTAATTTATCATGTTACTAGAAACAGTTTCTTTGCAATTATGCAATAGTGTAAGGCTACGATTACCTCCACCCGACACTCACTAGTCGGGTTTATCGGGAGTGATTTTTTTTTTTGGTTTTAGACACATTAGTTATATATAGAACAGTAGGAAAGTGCAAATCAACACATGCTATGAAAGCTATCAAACAGAAAATCTAACATAAAGTGATTAAGCTTATAACTAATGTGTAACTAGTGGAACTAATTAATTACACATGAACATTCAACTAGTGCTTGCCACATTATCACTGTCCTTCAACACCCCCCACAAGCGGGACAGTGAATATCACGAAGTCTTAGCTTGGCATAATGGAAGAGAATTGAGCCGGATGAAGGGCCTTGGTGAAAAGATCAGCTAACTAGTCAGAAGAGGCAACTAGAAAAAATCTTAGTAAACCAGCTTGAAGCTTCTCTCAAGTAACATGAATGTCTATCTTAACATGCGTTGAACGTTCATGTAGAGTGGGGGGTTTTGGCAAGATAAATTGCTGAGACGTTGTCACAATAAACATGAGCTGCTGTTAGACAAAAGACATGTAGATCATGAAGCAGATAAGTGATCCATTGAAACTTAAATGTTAAGGATGCAAGAGCCTTATATTCTACCTCACTGGAAAAGCGCGAGACAGTAGGCTGCTTCTTAGAACGCCAAGAGATTAATGAAGAACCAAGAAAATACATATCCCCAAAATTGATCTTTGGAATCCAGGCAACAAGCCCAATCGGAATCAATGAACCCACTTAGCTGAAGGTTATTGGAAGCTGGAAAAAATAAATAAACTGTAGGAGGGCCCTTTATATATCGAAGGACGCAAGTTGCTGCTGACAAGTGATCAGAGGTAGGGGAACTAACAAATTGGCTAAGTTGTTGGACTGAGAAACAAATGTATGGTCGTGAGGTACAACAACTAACCAATGAGACAACAAATAAAGATGCACCAGCTTCAGAGAGAGGACTGCTTTGACTGCGGGAAAAATGAAGAGATGGAACCATGGGAGTAGAAGAAAGTTTAGCTCCCAAAAGACCACTATCTGACAAAATTTCTAAGCATACTTCCTTTGATTAACAACAATGTCAGTCTTGGAAGAGAGATCTCCAACCCATGGAAATATCACAAATGACCTAAATCTGTCATGTGAAATTGGTTATCTAAGCCAACCTTAACACGCTGGATTTCTGCTTGATTATCCCCAGCTAAGACAACCTCATCAACGTACACAAGAATTACGATGAAAGAAGCATATGTCTTTCTTGCAAATATAGAGTAGTCAGCCATTGATTGAGTATAACCAAGAGTAAGTAGAACATTTGACAACTTGGAATGCCACTGCTTACTGGTTTGCTTTAGGCAGTAAAGGGACTTTCATAGCTGACACATTTTGCCTGGGGGAGACTAAATACCTGGTGGCAAGTCCATGAAGACTTTTTCATTCAAATCTCCATGGAGAAAGGCATTATTCACGTCTAGTTGCTCAATAATCCAATCTCTAGCAACACTAGTGGACAAGAGCACCCGAATGGTAGTCATTTTGGCTACGGGGCTAAAAGTATCAAAATAATTTACCCTTTCAATTAAGTGTATCCTTTGGCAACCAAATTCACTTTATAGCATTCAACGGTCCCATCAATATTATATTTCACCTTATAAACTTACTTGTATCCAATTGTGTGCTTGTCAGGAAGGAGATCAACTAAGTCCTATGTGTGATTAAGTTCCAACGCAGTTATCCCTACTACCATGGCTTGCTTCCAACAAGGGAGTTTGGAGGCTACAACATGTGTTTCTGGTTTTAGTATGGTGGTGACATTAAGGCAAAAATGAATGTGGAAAGGAGAACAAGAAGCATATGATAAAACAAAGGAGAAGGGATAGAGAGTACCTAAAGAAGATTGAGAGTGGAAGTCCACAAGGTAACTTGGTTGCCTTTTCACACGAGATGATCTTCGAAGGGGAAAAGCAGGATGAGGAGCATCAGGTTGGGGGGCATAGGTTATCAGGTTGTGTAATGTATGTTTGTAGGGGATGGTGGGGGAACCAATAAAGCAGGAATGATGAGAAGAGGGAATATATCATCAAACGCAATGGGTGAAGGGGTAGGAAGGATAGGTTTAATTGTAAGGGATGTGTATCAGCAAAAGGAAACACCATATCATAGAATATGACATTTTGGGATATGAATAACCTTTTGGAAGAAAGTTCAAGCAATATGTGTCATTTGGTGTCATATTGGTAACCAAGAAATATGCATTTTTGTGCTCTCGGGGCAAATTTAGTTCGATGAGAATGTAAAGTAGAAGCATAAGATAAACAGCTGAAGGTTTTGAAATGGGTGAAAGAAGGTGGTTTCTAATATAAAACTTCATAAGGTCTTTGGTAATCTAAGAATGTGGTATAACACCAATATGATGTGTGTGGAATGAGCAAGGGCATAACACCAATATGATTTTGGAACTTATGACTAAAATAGTATAGCACGGGTTACATTCATGAGATGTTGGTGTTTTCTTTCTACTATACCATTTTGTTCAAGAGTTTCTTCACATGTGGTTTGATGAAGAATATCTTTGATTTTGAAAAATTCATGCATAAGAAATTCGGGTCCATTATCACTACGATTTGAAAATGGTTTTTATGGAAAGTAACAAAGTGTTGAATGGATGCTCGAACATCTGATTTCTATTTAAGGAAAATGAGCTAAGTGTATCGTGAATAGTCATCAACAATGGATAAGAAATATTTGTGTCCACATATGCAACAAATGCAGGTTCCTAAATATCCATGTGTAAAAGTTCAAGCCAAAGTATATGATCATTGCTACGGGTACAGGAATTGGAATTACAAATAACATCAATTATTAAAGTAGGTATAGGTTGTGTTGAAGAGACAACCAAGATGAAGAGGCCTCTATGTTGTTTAGTCGTACCAATCTTCCTCTTGGTAGTCACCTGTTTAATACGACAATGAGTGTTAGAAAAAACTAGGTAACAAGGCAAGGCAGAGAAGAGTTTATTCACTAAAATAAGATTGACACAAAACTCTGGTACATATATTACATCATATAAGATTAAGTCATCAGAAAAATTAATGTTTCCTGCATGTGAGGCCACTACCTTGAAACCATTTGGCAAATTAATGGACACAAGACATATTTTATGAAACGAAACAAGATTAGAACAAGATGATGTTATATGATCAGTTGTGCCAGTATCAAGAATCCAACGCAACCGATTACCTGCCAACTGATTTTCTTCTGCAATTAGTGCAGAAATGGTTGCAAGATTAACATGAGAAGATTCCTTTGGAGACTCCAAGGCTTGCATGAGATCATGGAACTGTTGAAAGGACAAAATAATAGTTGAGCCTTCATTATTATTCTTAACGGATTCAACTTAGACAACAATATTTGCAACCTGAGCTCTCCTTGGCTTATAGCCTGGAGGAAAGCCATGTTTGAAGTAACATGTTTCCACCGTACGGTTACTCATCTTGCAATGCACACAAAACTTCGATTCATGTCCATGTCTTCTGCCTCCATTATAGTTAGGACGTCTGCGTCCTCTATTTGAGGCGAATTTCCTTCTACTATTATCAGCTTCACTTAGAAATGCCTTCGATCCATCATCCACAGAAGGATTAAAGTGAAACTCTCGTTCTTGCTGAGCTAGCAAGGAGAAAAATCGATTAACATCAGGTAGAGCGTTGATCAACATGATCTGAGATCGAACATGAGCATATTGCTCATTTAATCCTTTCAAGAATCGTATGGTATGGTCTTGATCCTTACGAATATGAATATCAGAAAGAGCAGGACAAATACATAAAAAGGTACACTTACAACTAAGGAGTGGTCTCATATTTTCAAGTTCATGACATAAACTTTTCAAATTTGTAAAATAATCAGCAATTGTTCAATCTCTTTGCCTTAGTTTGTAGATATCTTCTTGTAGATTGGAAACTCTAAAAATATCCACTTGAGAAAATCGCTCCTCGGGTCTCTTGAAAATGGTAATGACTTGTGAGGCAATCAAATGGTAAGCTCTGATTCGTCATTGATGGTGAGGTTTCTTGAAAATGAAAGAAAGAAAGGATGGGGAATCAGAACTTCTCAAGAAGCTTTGATACCATCTTATGCAAGCAACTTTGGTATATTTTCATATTATGAGGAAAAAAGATACATCAATGGCTTACATCAACTATATATAGAATAGTAGGAAGTGCAAAATGAACACACACTACGAAAGCTATCTAACAAAAAGT